GAGGGAGAACCGGTTAATATAGGCTACGAAACACCTTATATGTATGAACAAATGTAGGTAGATGTTCCTGTAAAAAACGTGTTACCCATAGAAGACATCAACCAAATATAGGAACAATATATAGCCCAATAGAAAATCGATACAAGCCATCACAATCGACCCTAAATTTCTAAGTAAAGTAGACAGATCAAGTCCATAGCTCCTAAGCTGCACACATGTGACACTTGAGGCTGAACTGTAATCGTCACCTCAACCATTTCTGCCTCTTCCCTCTTCTCGCCACAACTAGACAGGGAGACATGTTTAAGGTAGAGTGATGTTCTTAGGATGTGGAGCAGCATATTCTTGAGAGGTTTTTGATAGTTTTTGGTGGTGGTATAGGGGGCTTGGAATGAGATGAGATATGTCATTTATAATTTGGATTTGGCGGTGAGGATGTTGTGGCGGTTCAAACTTAAGTTAATGCTCTACATATTGAAGGCTCCTGATATGTCCTTTACTTATTGGATATGGAATGGTACTAGAAATGTTGTCTCCCCCTTTGAAGGTGTATCATTGATGTTGGTGATCTAGAGTTCACTTATTCGATCTAGAAACGGAAGCGGGGTTGTCTTTCTTACACATGCCCCTACTCTTTAAGAGTTTTTATCCAGTGTTTGTTGGCAAGTTAGATCTGGAAATGTCCTTGTGTGTGCATCATCTCCGTTTTAATGCCACTCGTCAATCTAACCCAAATCACGTAGTACAAATAAAATCGACATGTTTTTTTTCTCATACAACATTCTAGTATTAAATAGCTTGCTATAGTGTCTCTACAATTCAATTATATATTTTTGGGACTCCAAAATGCTACATGACCTTTCGATGTTCCGCTATACTAGTGATTGCACTATACCTCCGAATTGCTCTACTATTTGACCTAGTTTATAGCTAGCAATAGCCCGACTATTCCATATAGGCAATTTATCACAAAATAATATGGTTATATTGAATTACACTTAAATGTAAATACTTTGAATGGTTATGTAGGATAGTGTAAGACAGTAAACACATTAATACATTTTCACCTTGTTGTCATTTCATTAATATAGGTGGTTTTGAACTTTGTCTACTTGGGTATCGGAGCAGCAGTCATATCCTTTCTTCGTGAGCACGATACTTTGTCGACGTATTCATATGTGTTTGCACGACCTACTAAGATACTAGGCAATTGTTGGACATGCTTGAGAAATGGTGTTTAATGCACAAAGTAGCGTTTTATATTTGCAAGTTATCGTCATGGCATGATTCCAAGTTATGTTCTTATAGTTTGTATTTGAATAGTATATAGGAAAACCCGGAATATAAGGTGAACGGTCTTAACATGTTTTGTATTTCAACAAGAAGAAGATAGATGAACAAACATGTTAAAACTCCATTAGTAATGATGGCTGAAAAAATGTATTCACGTAACACATCTACAACAAAATTGAACCACACGTATGCGATGCAATGATCATCACATCAAGGTAGGATAAGCCACCTTTTTGTATGCAGAGCTGTCATGCTGGACAATTACTGGTGAAAGGCGGGCAGCACTCATTCGATCTCAATACCTCAAATCTGTCTTGAGACAGGATATTTCATTCTTTGACACAGAAATGACAACTGGGCAAGTAGTTTCAAAAATGTCTGGTGATACCGTGCTAGTTCAAGATGCTATTGGTGAGAAGGTAACGACTTTCTCCAAGTCAATTGAAGAGAAACAAGAAAAAAATATTCATCAAATTGCAACTCATATTAAAATTGACATAGATATATATGCATTGTAAAATTCCCTAGGTCGGCAAGTTCCAAAAACTCGTGGCTGCTTTCCTTGGTGGTTTCATTGTAGGTTTTGTGAAAGGATGGATTTTATCTCTTGTCATGTTGGCATGCGTACCTCCAGTTGTATTTGCTGCAGGAGTAGTGGCAAAAGTATTGTCAAAAATCTCTAGCAGAGGTCAAGCATCATACAGTAATGCGGGGAACATTGTCGAACAGACAATTGGATCCATAAAAACAGTAAGTTTAGTTCACAGAGCATTTAAACATTGGTTATTATAAATGACTTTCCGTGTACCCAGAAAGTTATCTTGTGGCTATATATGTCCAGGTTGTTTCTTTCAATGGAGAGAAGAAGGCCATCATATCATACAATAAACAAATACACAAAGCATACAAGACTGATGTTCAGGAAGGACTTACCAATGGCTTTGGCATGGCATCTGTTTTGTTCGTATTCTACTCTAGCTATGGTTTGGCCATATGGTACGGTGGAAAGTTGGTACTTGCAAAAGGATACACAGGAGGACAAGTCATCACTGTCTTATTGGCTATCATGACTGGGGCAATGTGAGTTTTTACTCCTACCCTGAAGTAGAATCCATACCATAATGATCCTTGGCAGTGAAATTTGTCAATTGTTTATTGTAGGTCTTTGGGTAATGCAGCCCCATGTATGACTGCCTTTATAGAAGGACAATCAGCAGCACATAGATTATTCACGACGATCAAAAGGAAACCAGAGATTGACCCTAACAACAATAGTGGTAAGCAACTAGTAGATATGAGGGGTGATATTGAGCTAAAGGATGTCTATTTTAGCTACCCAACGAGGCGTGGGCAACTAATATTTGATGGATTCTCACTACATGTGCCTAGTGGCACTACAATGGCTATAGTTGGAGAGAGTGGGAGTGGCAAGTCAACTGTGATTAGTCTTGTAGAGAGATTCTACGATCCGCAAGCTGGTGAGGTTTTGATTGATGGGGTTAATATCAAAGATTTACAACTTGATTCGATAAGAAGGAAAATTTCTCTTGTTGGCCAAGAGCCCTGTCTCTTTATGACATCAATTAAAGATAACATAACATATGGAAAAGAAGATGCAACAATTGAGGAGATCAAGAGAGCCGCTAAGCTTGCCAACGCAGCAAATTTCATTGATAAGTTGCCCAATGTGCGTGAAACATTCACTATGTAATTCCAAGTTCTTGCATTTGAGTTGAGTGCTAATATTTACATTTATCTTGTACCAGGGTTATGACACAATGGTTGGCCAGCGTGGTGCTCAACTTTCAGGAGGACAAAAGCAAAGGATTGCAATTGCGGGCAATCATTAAAAACCCCAAAATACTTTTGTTAGATGAGGCTACTAGCGCATTGGATGTGGAGTCGGAGAGGATAGTTCAGGAGGCATTGGATAGGATCATGCTGGACAGAACTACGCTTGTGGTTGCACATCGTCTAACTACTGTGAGAAATGTTGATTGCATATCAGTTATTCAACAAGGAAAGATAGTTGAACAAGGTCATGATCCCCATTTCCACCGTTCACTTCTTATCAATCACCTATTTGGCACATTTTAAACTAAGTTGTTCGTATTTCTACATATATTCTATATAGGTTCCCATGATGAATTAATACTAAACTTAGATGGTGCATACTCTCAACTTATTCTTCTCCAAGAAAGTCATGTAGAGCAGAAAATAGACCATCGACTATCTACCCCAAGATCAAGTACAAGCCTATCATTGAAGCGGTCGATTAGTGCTTCACTAGGGAATGATACTGAGCTTTCTTTCACACTCCCCTTGGGGCTACCTAGCACAATTGATTTGCCTGGAGAATATGATACACATGGAAAGAATCAAAAAGAGAAGAATGATGGGGGAGAGGCAGGAAAGAAAGATCCTATGGTACGTCTAGCAATTCTTAACAAGCCAGAGGTACCTATTCTTATATTAGGATCCTTAGCTGCAGCAGTTCATGGAGTTGTTTTTCCAATGTTTGGTTTAGTGATTTCAAGTGCAATTAAATCTTTATATGAGCCACCAGATAAACTGAGAAGTGATACAAGTTTTTGGGGTATGATGTGCTTTGTTATGGGTATCATATCAGTAATCACAATACCAGCAGAGTTCTTATTATTTGGAATAGCCGGAGGCAAGCTTATAGAGCGCATCCGAGCTTTGTCATTTCAAAGCATTGTTCACCAAGAAGTTGCTTGGTTTGATGATCCTAGAAATTCCAGGTGTGTGCAGCTTTGATCTCTTGGATTCTCTTCCTACTATAGACTTCATGAACACTACTTTCAGGTACTATAACTGTCAAATTATATCTTACAGCGGAGCACTTGGTGCAAGACTATCAATTGATGCTTTGAACGTCCGGCGTTTAGTGGGCGATAACTTGTCATTAATTATTCAACTTAGCTCAACGCTTGTCACAGGAGTTGTCATTGCTATGATAGCCGACTGGAAGCTCGCTTTGATCACCATGTGTGTGATTCCACTTGTGGGTCTTGAAAGTTATGCCCACATGAAGTTCTTGAATGGTTTTAGTCAAGATGCTAAGGTAATTAGCTAAATAAAATTGTTGGGTTGTTGCCAAGTAATATGATTTTTTTGAATAATTCCTAAAAATTAAATGAACCCAATAGTTCCATAAATGTTGTTGCTTTGGACTTAGGCACAAAAATATAACTTTACCACTAATTTGCCCCATAATACATAGAAAACGCCAAGGAAATTATACATTATGAAAGTATCTTCCGAGATTTATTTACGCATATGACTTAATAAAGTAAATCTAAATCTACTAGATGGCAGTGTACTAGACGTTATTGGTTGTCATTATTTCTAAAAACACACCTTTTGGGAAACTTTGGGGGGGGGGGGGTAATAAAGTACAAAAAGTAAGTTTTCTACTATCAACCTGGAACCACTACCTCATTATTTGTGCTTTTTTCTACATGTTACATCAATTCAAGTTCAATGGCTCACCCTATTTCATATACCCCATATCCTATTGGGCACATATGAGTTCCATCTTGAGTAGTGTCACAATGAGTGTTCATGCTTGGCTTACATTCTCACACGGTGTCCTTGGCCCCATAGTTACGGCCTATCATAGTACTTTTATTTCCCGTGCCGTGATCCATGCAGAAATTTGAAGAAGGTGGTGAACTTAGATTGTAATGAGGGGAGCTTCGTTGTATTTTGATTAGTTCTCCTACAATTGTTTGTGCAAGATTATTAGCAAGATGTGAAAGGGAAGCTGAATAGGTGGATGAACCATGATAGGCTCCATTTAAAAAATAGTGAAGATAGAATATAAAGAAAAATATTCAATATGTTTATGAGTTCAGACATAGAAATCTTCTACTTCATCAAGCGTAGTAAGAATTGACACTTGCTTCATTTTTATTTCCTCAAAACTTTTGAAGTTAACGATTATAGATTGGTCATTCTCCAGATGATGTATGAAGATGCAAGTCAAGTGGCCACGGATGCAGTTAGTAGTATAAGGACAATAGCTTCCTTTTGTTCTGAGAAAAGAATTACAAGAATATATGATCATAAATGTGAAGCCTCAGTGAATCAAGGAGTCAAAACAGGAATAGTTGGGGGTATTGGATTTGGTTTCTCTTACTTGACATTGTACCTCACATACGGCCTTTGTTTCTATGTCGGGGGGCAATTCGTGCAACAAGGCAAATCAAATTTTGGTGAAGTTTTTAAGGTATGTAGATGCATTATTTCACCTGTAAAGTTACTCACTAAGGATTATCTTCTCCATATTTTTTCCATAGTTCTATCATGATGTCATTTCACTTAGTAAGTCATACTTTGCAGGTTTTCTTTGCACTGGTCTTAGCAACTATGGGAGTATCTGAAACAAGTGCAATGGCCTCTGATTCAAAAAAAGCAAAGGATTCAGCTATCTCTATATTTACTTTGCTAGACCGAATATCCAAAATCGATTCAAGCAGCAATCAGGGTTTGACATTGGATGAGGTCAAGGGCAACATTGATTTCCAACATGTCAGCTTCAAGTACCCAACTCGCCTAGATATTCAAATCTTCCATGACTTTACCTTGCACATACCCTCTGGAAAGGTTAGCCTACTTCTCATATAATAATTGCATTGTCATATCTTGTACAACCATGCACTTAGGAGCTTGCTTTCGATATGCTCTTATATAGATTGTTGCACTTGTTGGAGAGAGTGGTAGCGGCAAGTCAACTGTAATCACACTATTGGAGAGATTCTACAATCCCGATTCAGGTACCATTCAATTGGATGGAGTGGAAATCAAGAGCTTAAACATCAATTGGTTTAGAGACCAAATTGGACTGGTGAGCCAAGAGCCTGTACTCTTCAATTACACAATACGTGCCAACATAGCCTATGGTAAGGACGGGGACGTCACCGAAGAGGAGCTCATTGCAGCTGCGAAAATATCCAATGCACATGAGTTCATATCAAGCCTTCCTCAAGGATATGGCACCTCCATTGGGGAGAGGGGGACACAACTATCCGGTGGCCAGAAGCAGCGGGTGGCTATTGCGAGGGCGATACTCAAAGATCCTAAGATACTACTACTCGACGAAGCAACTAGCGCCTTGGATGCAGAATCTGAGCGAATTGTGCAGAATGCCTTAGATCATGTGATGGTTGGCAGGACCACGATTGTCGTGGCACACCGCCTATCTACTATCAAAGGCGTCGATATCATTGCAGTTCTCAAAGATGGTGCAATAGTGGAGAAAGGAAGTCATGAGTCCTTGGTCAACATCAAAGATGGATTGTATGCTTCACTAGTTGAATTCCGTTCAGCATCACCGTAATACCTAGGATCAGTATCGGTTCCCATTTGTATACATGGGTTACATGTTGGTTGACCCCCTTTTTGATTGTTGACATGTAATTGCGGTACATTAATTGCTTGGAACTTGAAAAGGAGCTCAAGAAGTAAATAGCCATTTGTTGTGTCTATGGCTATGTAATTTAAGAGTGTACATATTTGGAAAGAAAGATTATTTGTCAGGTTTTGATTCTCAAATGTACATTTCTCGTGTCAATGAATAAAGGTGTGTAGTTTTGTACTGTACATAGAGTATGTATATAATTATTTGAAGATCATCTTTTGACATGTCAAACATATCATGCATTGTATACAGATGATGTAGCTCCTTTTTTCGATGTTCTAGCTATCCACGTTTAGGTGCTAATCCGTACATACGTATTTCCATTGCGACGATGAATGTCTATGTTGCTTACTTTTAGGTGCTTTGTGGCCACAAATGATATCATCATGTCTTTGCAGTGTTTTTTAAAGGATGTCTTTGTAGTGTCATCCTCGATGTACTCTATCTTTCTCGTTGGAAGAGCATACAGTTGTTGCTTTGTGTTCTGTCCATTCTCTGAATGTTCATCGCCTCATATGCAGAATTAGGATTCTTACGGTCGAATTAGCCATGCCCAGACATATACTTATGTTCTGGTGTTGATATATAAATGGAATATGGTTCTTGTAAGATGGGGATTTGCACTTGTAAGCACTATCTATAGAGATTTATTCTTTTCTTGTTGTACATAGGACAAAATTAGAAGTGCAGGGTTCTTTTTCTGCTTGTATAATCTGCTCAATTTGACCATTACTTCACAATCATAAGTGTGCATCCTTTTGGGCTTATCAGATTGCCATAACGGTGGACTAATACAGATGTTTGCAGGTGATTGGCTTGACCTCCATTTTTGGCATTACACCTTATCGCTTCTCAGCCGAGCCGGCATGGTCTTCCGTCCATCCCTCTACCAGCTTGGTGAGCGTCACATCCATCTCCCCGCCCTCAGCCAGCGCCTCCTTGGCCCTTGTCATGGCAGCCAGCGTGCGCTCCCGGAGCACCCTCCCACCGTCGGACTCCATCAGCCACCTCACCTTCTTCTCCGCCCCGCCGGCCTCCACCAGCTCACTCTCGTACCCCTCCACCGCCGTGGCCAGCCCCAGCTCCTTCTCCAGGAACACCCGGTTCAGCCGCTGCTCCGAGTACAGCGGCCATGCCAGCATCGACACGCCTGCCATCACCACCTCCAGCATCGAGTTCCACCCAAAGCGCATCACGAACCCGCCCACCGCGCCGTGCGCCAGCACGTCCCGCTACGGCGCCCATGTCTTCACCACCAGCCCTCTGTCCGCCGTCCTGGCTATGAAGCCCTCCAGGAGGAGCGTGCCTAGGTCCGGCTCTGGCGGCTCCTCAAACTTCTTGGTCAGGTCCTCGTTCGGCAGGCTGCGAACCACCCATAGAAATCTCAGGTCGCTCACCTCCAGGCCGACGCCGATCTCCCTGATATGCGCGGTGCTAAACACGCCCAGGCTGCCAAAGCAGAGGAACACCACGCTGCCCTCTGGCTGTGCGTCAAGCCATGCCAGGCACTCGCCGCCGCGCTTCACGCCCACCTCTGCCGACTTTATCAGCGGCCCGATGCAGTGCACCGGTGGCGTCGGCAGGCCGGGCGGCGTGCACAGCCCGGCGCCGATCGCCTCAACGGCGCGCGGCTCCAATGAGCGGAACGTGTTGATGATGATGCCCCGGGAGCGGCAGAGGTCGGGCGACAAATATTCGGTGTTGCTCTGCTTCTTTTCTAAGAGCATCTCCAACAGGCGCGCCAAACTAGCGCCGCACCGCAAAATTCCCCATTTTAGCGCGCGCGCAACCGGAATAGTTGCTCCAGCGGGCGCGCGAAAACCGCGCGCGCGGCATACCTAGTCCAGCGTGCGGGCCGAAACGCAATCGCGCCGCTTATTTGCTGCGCCCGCTCCCGCGCGCTGGACTCTAGCGTGCTCGCCCGCACCTCCCACCCCCCCTCCAGCCGCGTCGCCGCCGCCGACCGCGTCACCCGACGACCGTTCCGGCGCTTCCCCGGCCTATCCACGCCCCGCGCGCGCTTTCTCCGGCCCCCCTCTAGTCCCGCCGCCCCGCGCACGTGCTAGTCCTCCGACGAACAGCGCCCGCGCGCTCGCTGCCGCTCGGCGCCCGCAAGGTGTTCGACAAAACGCCTAGAAGGTATGTATTGCTCAAAAGCCATGAATTTCGTGCATGTTGATTGTAGTTTTGTATTTATAGCATAGTGTTCAACATTGTAGATGAGTTCGTCGTATGATTCTTCCGAAGAAGAATTTGATATGGAAGAGGAGGAGGATCTTGCAATGATCCTAGCTATGCATATTAATAAAAAACCGAAGCACGGTGGTTCGGTTATGGGTCGTCAAAATTTTTGGAGGGATAGGATCGATGCCCACAACAGATTGATCAGGCATTATTTTGCGGAGAATCCCACATACCCCGAGTCGTATTTTCATCGCCGGTTTAGGATGAGCACCGAGTTGTTCAGGCGCATTGCAGAGAAACTAGTGAGTCATGACCGCTTTTTCAGCAAAGAAGGAATGCCGCCGGAGAGCTCGGGCATAGCACCTTTCAGAAGGTGACAGCCGCTTTGCGTATGTTGGCATACGGTATACCGGCTGATCTAGTTGATGATCACTTGGCTATGGGTGAGAGCCAAGCCATCATGTGTGTCAAGCGCTTCGCAGTCGGAATTGTGCAAGTGTTTGGCGAGGAGTATTTGAGATCTCCCAACGCTGAAGACGTCGCAAGGCTTTTAGCGATGAACAAAGCTCGCGGTTTTCCTGGCATGCTTGGCTCAATAGATTGCATGCATTGGACTTGGAAGAATTGTCCAAAGGCATGGCATGGGCAATTCCCCGGCCAAAAAAAAAGGTTCCACTATAATCCTTGAAGCGGTGGCCGATCAAGAGACTTGGATTTGGCATGCATTCTTTGGAATGCCTGGATCTTTGAATGACATCAATGTTGTCAACCGGTCACCACTGATGAGTAAGATTGCAAATGGGGAGTTGCCACCGGTGCAGTTTGTAGCAAATGGTCGTACATACAACTATGGCTATTATCTAGCGGATGGCATCTATCCAAAGTGGCAAACCTTTGTCAAGCCGTTAAAAAAGCCAGAAGGTAAGAAAAATCTTGATTTTCACAATGCTCAGGCGGCGGCTAGAAAAGATGTGGAGAGAGCTTTTGGGATTTTGCAAGCCCAATTTGCTATTGTGAGAGGACCGGCTAGATTTTGGGATCAGAAGATGCTTTGGTACATAATGCATGCTTGTGTGATCATGCACAACATGATCATTGAGAATGAGCGTGGCCAAGATGTAGACTACTCTCAGTATGAGCTCTTGGGACATCCCGTGCGAGTGCGACGGAGGGCTGAAAAGGGTGGCCCGTTTTGTTGCCTCCTATCATACCATTCGACGTCCCGCAGCGCATAATGATCTTCGGAAGGATCTCATTGAGAAGCGGTGGGCATGAAATGAACGACAAAGAGCATCATGATTTGTGCGTTCGCTATTGTATTGTTGAACTATTTGTTGTGTTTAATTGCACTATTTGTTGTATTGAACGATAAAAATTGTTTGTTTGAGTTGTAATAAACGAAATTGAACTCTTTATTTTTGTTTGTTTTGATCTTTTTGCTTTTGTTTTCGAATGCATATATTGTTTGTGCGAGTTGCGCGCGCTGCATTTTGGCGCGCACTGCATTTTAGCGCGGCTGCTAGAGCCAGCGCTGCGCGCCGCGCCAAACCAGACGATGCGCGCGCGGCGCGACCGGCGCCTGTTGGAGATGCTCTAAGTCTATAGGCTGCAGATTTTGCATTTAGTGTTAGCTATTGTGATGCATCAAAGTCCAAGCGAACATGTTTTTAGAGGGAGGGAAAGTTAAGTTAGGGATAAATAGCATCAGGGATTGGGTTAGGAGATGGAGACCAACACAATCCCTGCAGAAATAAGTTCTCTGTGGAGAAATGGGAGATGCATGTGCTACTCATATAGTGGCTATGGTGATTTATGCAGCAGCAGCTGGTCGAGCAGCAGACTCGTGTATTTCCTTCTACCACATATGCTATTTCGCTATAAAAGTACATGACTTTTTGTGTGTAGCTCACACCAAAATGTATTTTGTCATGCATATACAAATCCAAGTACATGTGTATTTTTCGGACTTTTCTAATAATTAAGTATCTCATTTTCAACTTGTTTACAAGCTTTGTTCATGTGTACTTTCTTCTTTGTTTCATAATCATAAGCGTGCATCCTTTCGGGCTTATCAGATTGCCATAACAGTGGATTAATACAGATGTTTGCAGGTGATTGGCTTGACCTCCATTATTGGCGTTACACCTTATGGCTTCTCAGCCGAGCCGACATGGTCTCCCGTCCAGCCCTCCACCAGCTTGGTGAGCGTCACGTCCGACCAACGCCTCCTTGGCCCTTCGCATGGCCGCCAGCATGCGCTCCCGGAGCACGCTCCGGCCGTCGGACTCCATCAGCCACCTCATCTTTTTTCCACCTCATCGGCCTCCACCAGCTCACTCTCGTACCCCTCCACTGCCGTGGCCAGCCCCAGCTCCTTCTCCAGGAACATCTGGTTTAGCCGCTGCTCCATGTACAGCGGCCATGCCAGCATCGGCACGCCTGCCATCACCGCCTCCAACATCGAGTTCCACCCACAGTGCGTCACGAACCCGCCCACCGCGCTGTGTGCCAGCACGTCCCGCTGCGGCGCCCACGTCTTCACCACTAGTCCCCTGCCCATCGTCCGGGCCAGGAAGCCCTCCGAGAGGAGCGCGTCGAGGTCAGACTCCGGCGGCACCTCGAACCTCCTCGTCCGGTCCTCATTTGGCGGGCTTCGCACCCCCATAAAAATCTCAGGCCGCTCGCCTCCAGTCCGACGGCGATCCCCCTGATCCGCGTCGTGCTGAACACGCCCA